GTGCGCTTATGCATGCCCCCTACAGACCTCTTAGGAAAGGGGTGAGGTCCATAATAGACAGTCTAAGGTTAAAGTTTTTGGGGTTTGGGGAAGAAACCACAGAGTCAGGTAGAGTATTCCAAACATTGAACACTCTGTTGCTGAAGTCGTATTTCCTGCAATCAAGTTTGGTTTAGTTAACCTTGAGTTTGTATCTATTGTTTGCTCTTGTATTGTTATGATTGAAGCTGAAGTATTCATTGACAGGTAGGACATTGCAATGTATGATTTTATATACTATATTTAGATCGGACCAGAGGCGGCGTAGTTCTAGGTTTTCTAGGTCTAGAGTTTCAAGTCTGGTGGCATAAGGTATTCTGCAATGAGTAGAGGAGCGGAGAACTCTTCTTGTGAAATATTTCTGGACTTTTTCAATTGTGTTAATATCAGATACATGATATGGGTTCCATAATAGACCTCGTTGTTCCTTCTGAATGACTGTAAATTCCACAATCTATTATTATCACAGGCCACATGGAGTTGAAAACCTCCCATTTGGATTGTTTATCCTAGTCTTGTGAACTTGGGCATTATATACAGTGGATTGTGGTTCGCTGTGACAGACATTGTGGGTACCGTTAAAACGAACCATGAATCTAGCTTGTATCTTTATACCTTCAGGCATTATAAACATTTAAGAGGCTAATTTTGAACATCGGAAATGTGGTTTCATTGTTTAGAACGTACCTCTGGATCTAAGTCGTCAAGGACATTCTCTAGCTGTTTTAGTTCATCCTCAGAGAGTTTGTTCAGAATTTCATCTTCATTGATATTTTTGTATTTCTCCAACTCTTTCCGGAATGGCACTGACATGTCTCTCAATCACGTCCTTTGTCGTTTACCTGTCAATCATTCACAAGACACTCTTCCGGATTCCTGGAAAAAGGAGAGATGGTTAGTTCTCTCTGCTAATTTACAAACATTGCAGAAATAACTTATTGGCGATGTTTTACATGATATGATTTACAATACAAAACATAATTTTAATATCTGCTTGGTGCTTTTAACTATTACAAGTACTTCCCAAATATTAGTTTGTTGTAATTCTTCTAGCACTCCTCTAAAAATTATTAGCAACAGCTCATTAAGTTCTCACAAGTCCAGCCACCTTAGCTATCCATTGTCAAAGAAAAGGAGCATTTATTTTATCAATACAGCCAGCCTGTGTTCAGATATATTCTTTTATCTTTCTTTTTTTTTCCTGGCCCTGTCTCTTTGTCCTTTGACTTGGCATAACTTGGGTGCTGGGTTGTCCCATGGCCCAATCACAACCATTCCCAGAGCTAAAGGGTCTTCATCTCCTGTGCAATACCTGCATGTGTGGAACTGGAAAGAATGAGATTTACCCAGGAGAATTTCTTCCCACACTTTTCTCAAGGTTAGTTTCTCCATTTCAGCAAAAGATAGAAAATATTTGCTGACCTATTTTGTGTTTGTGCATTCAAGTTTACAGCGCTGTTTACCCATTGGATTAATTTATTAAGGTCTGCACACAGAATGACACATAAGGTTATTGATTAATTTCTAAATCCTTACAGTGAGACAAGAAGTATGATCAATTCGTGTGAGACAGAAAGTCGTGTTTATAATTGGGATCAGTTGCTCGCTTTGTCCTTGCTTCTCAAAAATGTTTCCCTCCCAGGGGGGTAAAAACATTCTTATATTCTGAATAAAAGCATGAAATGTTACGTTCACTCTGACTTAGCTTCATGATCTCATCTAGTAATGTGATTGTACTGGTTGGAACACATGATTCTTAAATTATGTGGAGATCCCGTTGCACTATATGTCATTCTTGGACTACTACTTGAATGTCAACAATAGGTTAGAGCTCACACGTCAACACTCCCAGGAAACATAGATGACTCAAAATAAAGACATACTTTAAAATTCCCACAATGCTTCTGTCCTAGAGTCATCCTGAGAACAATTCATATATCAACCCTTCTTGGAGGGAGTTAAAAATTGGCTCAAAGAACGACTCTTGCTGCTCAATTTGAAAAGTTCCCATTGGGATACATCAATTCTGTTTTTCAGTACGGTCTTGAAAAGCAACTTTATTGGGCTTAATTTTTTCTTCTCACTAAAAATTGTTTAAACATGAAGAACTCTATTCCATTAAAAGAAACCAATCAATCTTTGTCGTGTTCAATAGATGCCTTTCTGGTCATTTGATATAATGCACGTCAAACTTACTCCTGCTTTGATCTAGAGAAGATTAAAGAGTTTCATAGTGTGAGGAAAGAAGGAAAATATCCCACTTTGCTGGGCGAAAAAAAAAAAGATACATAACTAGACAAGAATAACATTTAATGGGAGTGGTCTGTCAACAGAAACAACCTTCATTTACTCTTTGCTTTAGCCCAGTTGCAATGAGGACTATTGTCTTTATGGAAATCTGGAAAAATAACCAAAAGAAAACGAGATGTTTTTCTGCGAACCTCCCAGAACTGGCATCCCAACATCCGAAGCCATCCAACCAGATTACAGGTGGATGGTTGAGGTGCACCAAACTTGTGGCCTTCTAGATAGTCCCCAACTGCAATTCATAGGTGACCTGGCCAGCAGGTGCAATGAAGAGAACTGCTGGAAGTTACTATTTAGCATCCTCTAAAAACTCAATTCCTAATCGGTACCAAAGTATATGAAGAAAGTCACAGCCGACTGATAATCAAACCAGCCTTCTCTATCTTGATGTATCCTCTTCCACATATGTCTGCAGGCTAGTTCAGAAGACTGGGCATTCCAAACTCTCAAACCAGAGTTGAGAAGCTGGGTTCAACCTGGGTCACAATTGGGCTGCCTGCATAGGTTCAAATCCTCACTCATTGGATAACTTTGGATCAATCACTTATTCCTGATCACTTGCCTTACAAGGTTGTTGTAAAGAAAGAAACCAAGAGAAACAATCAGGAGAGCATACTTAATATACTTAATATTTCATACAAAGCAATTTTTCTGCCCCATGTAAATTGGTCTTTTCAGGCCTTTCTCTTCTACTATAGATGCTCCTTCCATAAAATGTTTCTCTTCAGAAAGAATTCCTGCTTCAAAAAGCAGCAAACTCTATCTACAGTTTCACCGAGGTCATAAACCGATAATCGCTTCTTTGAATTCTTCCAGGAGAAAATTTCCATCGTGCTGTTTTGGACACATTTGTTTCTTTTTTTCAGAGATAACATTTCATGGGAACCAAGAGTGGCTCTATAAAAAACGAAAAGCCACATCTTGAAGAATAGAGGGCACTAGTAGTTGTGATTCTCTACACACACACACACACACACACACACACCAATTCTACCACTCTCAAATCTTTCGATTTTAGAATCAGAAGAGATTTTAGAGGCTGTCTGTTCTAACTCACTGCTATGCAGAAATCTTGCCACAATGGCTTTTCCTATAGAAAGACAAATTCTGCTTAACTCCCTCTCAACTATTTGGACAGACTGTTTCCCAAAACACTTCATTTCTACGCTGAACTATTTTTACTCTTTGACCGCATTTTTCTATTATTTAGCTAAAATAGTCATTTTTCCAATTCCAAGCCATTGTCTCTAGTCCTTTCCTCTGAAGCAACATTTGTTATTTTAATAAATTTTATTAATTTTTCAAATTTTAAAAAACATAAAATAAAAATGTATACATTGTTATCAACATCAAGACATCTTTCGTACCTCCTTACATTTTTCAGTATATGTATTTACTTATTCCTTTACCACTACATCTTACTTTTTGCTATAAATCAAGATCTTTTATCCTTACACATCAATCTTCTCTATGGTATATTTACATATTTACATATTCCTTCATTCTTTTCCTAATTGCCATTTTATTTTATTTTTATTTCTAAACCACTCATACCAGGCATCCCAGGCCCTATAGCAAATTGAATCTTCTCTGTCTTTTATTTTCACCGTTAGCCTGTCCATCTCTATACAATCGATTATTTTTTTTATAACCATGCCTTCTGGTGGAACCCCTTTTTCTTTCCAGAGTTGTGTGTACGAAATCCTTGCAGCTGTTAATATTCCAAGCCATTGTCTCTAGTTCCTTTCCCCTGAAGCAACATTAAATTTTTTTTTTCACAATGATAAAATTAACTACCCATCCGGGGAGAAGAAAGCAGCGTGCCAGAAATTATCCAAATACAGCTTTTATCCCACAAAATTCCGAAAAAATCAACCACGGGCATGCTCGTAAAAAAATGCCGAAAACCCAGCATCATAACCAACAGACATTTGTGGTTATTTTCAGGTTGTCTTCAGGGTGTGGTGAGAAAAGTCAGGATGATGGCTGCAACGATGCGGTTGAAGCTTTGCCTACTTCTCAGGCGTGGCACACATTCAAAAAAAGTCCAGCTAGTCCTCAACCTACGACCGTAATTGAGCCCCAAAATTATGTCGCTTAAGTGAGAAATTTGTTAAATGAGTTTTGCCCCATTTTACGACTTTTCTTGCCAGGTTGGTTAAGTGAATCGCTGCAGTTGTTAAATTAGTAACCCGGTTGTTAAGCGAGTCAGAAGGTCGCAAAAGGGGACTCCTGGGACCCCTGTGCCCGTCATAAATGTGAGTCAGTTGTCAAGCTTCCGAATGTAAAATCACATGACCATGAGAATGCTGCAACGGTCATAAGGGTGAAAAATGGTCCCAAGTCACTTTTTCCAGTGCCGTTGTAACTTCACACAGTCACCAAGCGAAATATTGTAAGTCAAGGACTACCTGTAGAATGTTGATTAGACCCCACGTGGCTGCCACATGCCCTGCGGATAGCCGTGATCATTTGTGCCTTGAGTTTTCCATATTGATTTGCAACTACTGTGAAAAAGCTAGTTTTACCTTCAAAAGTTAGGAAATAAGGACAGCAGACAGAGCCATAAATAGGGAAGAGGATGTGTTTGGAAGCATATCCATTGCTCACAAAGTGGCCACATCAATCCATCTTCCCATCAATTCCATGGAACTCTTGAGGTATGATTGATAGATTAATCAACACGAGCTCCTATTGGACCTTATTCTAGTTTAGTTTACTTCCTTGTCATTGCACCTCATACAACGAAATCAAACACCATCTTCAGTGCACATCATGACCATGAAAACAAACACAAACGCACATCCTTCACACTCCACACATTGAACTGAAACCCCCTGACAACTGCACCGACACTGCGCTATTCAACCAAAATGAGGGTTATAACCAGCTACGCAGGCAATGTATGCTTCCCAGTCCAGATTCCCAGGATTTAGTTTTTTCTTTTTAAATCTCTCTTAATTTAAGCTTTTCAAGTTTTCTTCGGACGTGCTTATTTTGGCAGCGACATCTGGCACGGTGGCTCGCCTTGCTCTTAAAATGCGCTGATCACACAAACTGCAGCTGGATCACAAGGAGGGGGTGTCATTCTGTGGATTTAGAAAGGAGGTGGCAGCACAAGAAAGGCAACCCAATTTTCCAACAAGTGAGTCCCTTTGAACCTTTTGTGTTTTAAAACAAGCGTTTTAACCGAATTCTCTGGTTTGTTAAATACTAAACAAAGTAATATGAGACGAAAGCTGAAATTATTATTTTTTTTAAAGAAAATTGATTATTATTTTTTAAGGACACCCAATTTATAAAGAATTACATATACCAGAGGTCTCCAAACTTGGCAACTTTTAAGACTTGTGGACTTCAACTCCCACCATAGCTGCCTGAGGAATTCTGGGAGTTGAAGTCCACAAGTCTTAAAAGTTGCCAAGTTTGGGGACCCCCTGACATATACCAACTTTTCTCCTTCATTCTCTATACACAAACTGGGATCATCCACTCTAGCCCGCCCCGGATTGTTTCAAAGTGACTTAATGAACCACAATAAATAATCAACCCTTATTTTAC